GTCGACTTTAATCGACGAATTGTCGGAAAAGTAATACTTGGCATTTCTTTGAATTTGAACCCGAGCTGTTTGTGGTCCATATTCATTGATTTCATAGACCGATTCTGATGTTTCATCAAATAGGTGACCATCTGGATATAAAATGCAACCATTATCTTTAGTGATCTAATGAAGAAAGAGAAAATGCGTATCTTACAAACAAGTAGCGATGAGTCTTACTTTTAATGTACTTATTTCATTGATTTCATCAAACGTACGAATGCTACTAATGGAATCGTCACGAATTGTGATCACTTTAAGACCAGGAGCTATTTCAGGCAAGTCAAAGTCAGGTTTCGAAGAGCTACATTATATGTCGACAGAAACGCAAACAAACAAATGCACATATCTCTTACCATTTATGAGCTAAACGAGGTAAGATAAGTACAGATGGAGAAGACCGATTCAAATGAATTCTAACACAAAATCAATTGTTTTGATAATGGAAATTAAAATAGTATGTTACTACTCACGTTACTGTAGCTGACTGAGGAGAAGGCCAGACAAAGGGCCAATACGCTGTGGATACGGCCAGACGGAGACGATAACCAGCTGAGAGACGAACACATACGCCAGACAGAGTTACATCAATGCTAAAATAAATAGAGAAAATATCCTGGTTACTTTTTTCAGCAATAGTACACAAAATTGACTGTTTCCCAATGTTTCTTAAATAGGTCGTGATGAAAATATATTCGAATCTATGATTTTTCGTTTTGTGATACGAATAGGTACCAAGAGAGAACATCAATCTTTACAAAACTAAATAGCGATATCGACAGATTTTCTTGAAAGAGTAACACTATGTAAAATCTATTCAGTACGTCATTTAGTAGCGACTATCGAACGTCGGATTAACAATATGGCTATTATGCTGTGGCTAGCTCGTGAAAGATCCGTTACATCTCAGATGACCAAATTGAAATGAGAGTGAACTCGAATTGTGAAAATGTGACTGGTTTGAATGAGAGATGGCAAAGATTCGAAAAATGTCCACTTCACCTAAAGTCCTATACTAAATAAACGGACTTTACTAATTTACAAAGCAGAAGGTCTTTTCGGACGTTACCCTGCGATAACGTATTACACTTTTTTTCTATCCTATGGGAATCTTCCTTAGTTCTAGTGACACTTTTTGGGAACTTTATCTACTTCAATTAGAATCTTTTCATAACTATAAGGACTTTTTTCTTTGATATAGATGATCATTATTTTTGTCCCGGCACACACCCTCATCATGTAGTATCCATAATTTGCTTTTCCTATGACTATTATATATGTGAGATTTCATAAAGTATGTTAAGTCCCACATATTTTCGAAGAACTTTAAGTAAAGTGGACATTTTTTCGATCTTTTACATTGCTGGCTTGAATACATGAAGGATTTAGACAATGTATCAAAAGTTTGTTTTCTTTTCAACAAAAACCATGGAAAACAGAGTTCAAAAATGATTTGATGCTATCAGATCCTTTGATTATTAGCAAAGCAGTGAAGAAATAGTTCGCAGTACTAACTTGTAGATTTTATTGATTTCCAGTTCTTCCGGATGTTCATGAGAATTGAAATGAGTCAAATTAAGAATGCCTCGGGCGACGAGAATGGAAGCACAAGTTTCTGGTTCAATAGCACAAAGACGAACACAAAGTAAAGCATTCGGTTGATTTGAACTTAAACTTAGTTGGACACTGGGAAAACCGAATAATTCTATAAGAGACGCAATATTTGATATGCAAGTGATAAGAGCAAATCGAGTTTCGTACCTAAATCATCAAGAAGTGGTGATGAGTCAAAACAAAGTGATCGTCCGTCATCTATCCGTTGATCCAAAGAATGATCTGGATGTTTCAAAAAACCCCAGCCAAGCCAATTGCCACTTGCTGTACCGGTTTGTTGTGGAGAGCATAGGGAAACTTTCGCTGGTGAGACACTATCAAGTATTGGTTCACTTTTGAGACATGAGCCAGATAAGTAATATTTCAATTTCTCGTCTTCCAACACATTGTCATGATTTTCGGCGAGGCCGTTTCTTTGATCGTGTTCAATTGGATAACTGGGCATGTGGTCGATGTGAATCCATTCTCCTTTTCTAGTTGGCACAATCGAATGGAGTTCAGATGAATTTGGATGTAACTGATAAACAGACATCTCCGGTTCATTTTCCACGCCATTTTGAATTCCTAAAGAAGCAGTATTCAGGAAAGTTTTCGTATGATGTGAGAAAAAGAAAAGATACTCTGCGTAATGGAAATAATGTCGATCATTTACCTTTAATAAAGTGATCCAACCATCTGACAAATTCTTGTAAAATGCCAATTTGTGGCCCGGGAAAAGCCTGATCACTAATAGTGCAAGTAGAGTGTGGAGAAAAGAATCGTGATCGAAAAAAAGAAAAGTAACCTACGGCCACTGATGTCCCCATGGTCCCAAGATGGCTCGTTTCTGACACTTGAGTTTGTGCATCATGCGAAAGACAGGATCAGTGTAAAGATCGGCAAATCCACCAATTAGTAGCACTGGGCATTCGATTTTGGAGTAATTTTCACAAATACTTCCGTGACGCCAATAGGAATTCCTTGACAAGCAAAAATGTAGTTTCTCTTTCTATTCGACAGTCGTCTTACCGAGTTTGATGCTTGAACCAGTATGTGTCTAATGGTACAAGATTATCCAAACGGTCTTTCCAAACTGCGAAAAGATCGCTTTTTGCTTCTATTCCACCTTGATATTCAGGATGTGGTGGACATGCTAACGACAAAAGCATTTGAGTCGACCATGACAATGCTGCAAAGGAAACAACAACTTAGATTTCTTTATGATAAAAGCTTTATCATGCAAAAGAAATGAAATGTTTTTGTTCATCAGTATCACAAAAATTCTTTTCTAGATTGTGATCAAAGTTGCACAACGATTTTGTCTACCTTCGCTAGCCGGTATACAACCTCCGCAGTAGTGAATATCATCGCTGTAACGATCATCTGTCGAATAAGCTGAAATAACACCAGCTAAATACTACAAAGCACAAATCAAATACGAATTGAGCGAAACTGAATGGGTAAAAAATACTTTTGGTTGAAGTGCGGCCATCTGAAGTCCATTGAAACCGCCCCAAGATTTTCCGAACATGACAATCTGAAATGAAGAAAACATATTTATTCTAAATAAAAATCATTTTGGAACTACTTTTATGTCACTAAAGAATATGTATCAGACGAGATTATTCTTTAGAAATGTCATGATAGACGACAAGAAGTTTCTACAAAATAAATATCTACAGAATACTCTTTTAAAATTCTTGTCGTGTACATAATCAAAGCATCTTTTCAGCTTCAACCTTTCTTAGAAAAAGATATTTTGACGAATTCCTTGAGAACAATGTACTTCCAAAGGAAAATCATTCACAATGGTAGAAAATAATTTGATTCTTGAATTAATTAAATGTCCCATCTTCTATCTTACCTTTCCATTTGACCATGTTTGTTCTGCAATCCACTCCAGAATTTCTGTGCAATCAGCTTGTTCTTGGCAGCTATACTCATCGTCAAATATACCTAGATTTGACGTAAAAATAACAAATACACATGTCTAAAATACAATTACCTTCAGAATTTCCCGATCCTCGAATATCAATTCGAACAGAAACATAACCAAAACCAGCCAAATATTTCAATCGAATCTCATCACGAATCGATCTGCAAAACAGACGCAATATGTACAGAAGAAGACAGTAAAATTCCTCTTTCAACTCACGTCCCGTCCGCTTTTCTGTATGGTAAATATTCAAGTATCGCCGGAAACTTCGTATCAACAGTTGATTCCATAGTTTCATCTAGAGTACAATCATAGAGAAAGGGTGGGAGCACATAAGAGAACGAATCCACCCAGCTCCAAACTTTCAAAACAAGTATATATATCGATGCAGAATGAGACGGCAAATTGTTTGATACCAAATTCAATTCATTTGGAAAACGATTCAATAACTTCCAATGCAAATTACTGTACTATATTATTAGTAAATCTATAGGGTTGTATTTTGATAATAAGCTAATCAAAACATTTATTCACCTGATTACAAATAGTCTCATTTAAAAGCGCAAAATATTCTGCACAAGTTTATATATGAACAATCTGGAAATAATAGATATAAACTGAATTTATAGTGACCAAATAGTATTTCTATCGTTATTTTGAGATAGGTCATAAAGCTTCAGGTTTCACAATCGTTTCTAAAATGCCTTTTGATAAGGTCTTCTATTGAGAGTAGGCATGGATCAAGCCTAAAGCGAGTAGCTCGGACTCGATTTTGATTAGACTCAAGGTCGATCTATCTCAATTTATCTGGGTGTCGATTTTCTAAATTTTGCCTTCTCATAAGTATCTTTTTAAATGTTTACCGTCATGCTGCAATAGCACGGTGCTATACAGCCTCACATCCTTTGACCATGATGCATGGGAGGAAACAATGTTTAAGAAGTTTCTTTGAGAGGAGAAAATCAAGACCGACCCGAGTATGATCAAACCGAGCTCGAACTACTCGTGCTCGGTACATATCTAATTGGAAGTTCAATAAAGTTTGTCTCAAGCTACACGATGGTATAGTTTGCTTTTCCTTCTTGGGATGCCAAAATTTTTCGGTATTTGCTCTGGGAAAATTTTGGCCAGAAAAATCAAGAAAAAAAACTATACCAACGTGTATCCTGAAACAAGTTCCATCAAACCCTACAGAGAAGGCTTCATCAAAAGAAATTTTACAAGAGAATACATGCTAATCTGTGATGTTGAATATTTTGGAATTATTTCCTGGCCGGAATCAATTCCAGAAATTTCGGAAGCTCGATTGTGACTTAACCTCAGAGTACTTAACGAAATTAATCGAGTTTCGGAATTCCGAGAATCTATTCAACACGGAACTCCGCAATTGATTCAGCCTAGAATCACACAAAATTCCTTGCAATTTCGGAATTGCTAGCTCTGCTCATTTAGCCTTCGGTCTCACGTCGTCTAGTGTACTCTAGTCCTTTTTCGCTCACCTCCAAGTTTTAAAGTGTATGTCAATGTAGTATACCTCAAGAAACTTGAAGTAATTCCGGAATTACATAGAATTTCGTTGCCGAATCAATTCTTGAAATTCCGGCAGCTCGATTAAATCCGTTTAGCGTTCTGAGGTTAAAAGTTGATCAAGTTCTCGGAATTCCAAGAATTGATTTCGAAATGTTCAACATTGTGGAATAGGATGACTGCTCTTTTAGAATCTCTTTGGAAGCAATTAAGAAGCCTGAAAGACAGAATACTGCTCTTTAAGCCAGAGTTTTACCTTCGAAAAAATTTTGGCCAGCCCAAGAAGGAAAAGCAAACTATACCCGCGTATAGCTTGCGATGAACTTTATCGAACTCTCAATAGAAGACCTTATCAAAAGGCATTTTAGAAACGATTGTGAAACCTGAAGCTTTATGACCTATCTCAAAATAACGATAGAAACACTATTTGGTCACTATAAATTCAGTTTATGTCTATTATTTCCAGATGGTTCATATATAAATTTGTGCAGAATATTTCGCGCTTTTAAATGAGACTATTTGTAATCAGGTGAATAAATGTTTTGACTAGCTTATTATCAAAATACAACCCTATAGATTTACTAATAATATAGTGCAGTAATTTGCATTGGAAGCGTATCAAACAATTTGCCGTCTCATTCTGCATCCATATATATACTTGTTTTGAAAATTTGGAGCTGGGTGGATTCGTCCTCTTATGCGCTCCCGTCCTTGGTCAGAATGAATTTATAGTTGAGAAGTTTACTTTTGGGTAGCCAAATTGTTCCGGCCAATTTAACGCCATCTCGAAGTGGCACCGTAATTTGCGTTAGTTTCTCCACAGCATATGGAAATTCAGTGCGAATAAGTGGACGAGGAGTAGACGCATGAGACGACATTTGATTACAAAAAAGTATTCGCTTTTCTTTTGTGACACTTTTTTTTATACTTGTCTATAACAACAAGCGTTATTTTCTCTTGTTTGACTTCTTATCGTTTTCTCTCGAAAGCATGGCCTGATACACGATTCTTCTATTCTGCCTTTACTATACTCATGTTGTATTTTTTCGTGAAGTAAAATAGATATGACGCTCCTGTATACATTTCTGGTAAAGAAAAAGAAAAAAACAAAATCGGCAAGACAAAAAGAGTATTTACATAGGAATCGACGAAGAACATTATAACGTTCAGGGTGGGTAAAAAATTTTTTCAGGACAGAGTTGTAACTGGTAACGGTAAACGGCCGATCCATGCCAATCCGGTAGAGAATTTCTTACCGGTCGGTAGATACAACTTTTTATCGCGTCGGTCTAAATTTTTTTGAGTTCTTGTATATTTTTTATCAAAAAATTGATTAAAAAAAGGGTTTTTTGCAAGCCAAACACTTTTTTACTAATATTGACAATTATTTCTGTGAGAGAACAAAAAAAACTGTAAAATTTTACTTACTTCATATTTCGAAAATAATCAATATAGTCATAATTTATATTTTGAGGATTTGACTAAGAAGCCTCTTCTACAATGGTAATTAAAAGTAATTCTTGATTCATCTTGATAATATTCCTTTTTTCTGTCTCATTTACAATAGACACTCACTTAATTAGATCATTCGATCAATGTAATCGAATTTAAAACAATAACTTTATTGGCTGATGCATTACGATATAATGCAGTAATTTGGTACTTTACTCATTTATTGTATTCATCTCGTTTATTTTTATACATAGAAGCTTGAATAACAGAAAACAAAAAATTCTTGTTTGCGCTTTATTTAAAATGCGTAGCCTAAAATTTTTATGTATTGTGTAATTTTAAAGTAGTTCATTTATTGTTGTCCATCCATTTGAATAATAATAAGGTGTAGTTTGAGTTGTTGGATTATTATTAAGTTGTTCTTCAATTGTTTGTTGAGTTGATACTGATAGATCTGATTCAAATAACTTATCGATTTCTTGTGCTTGATCTATAAAGTCAAATAAACTTTTAAATGTTAATTCGATAAAATTAGGTTGATGAGTAATTCTATTAAAAAATGATTTGATTTCAAGTGTCATTGGTATTGAAGTTTGCAGAGTTGGATGTATAAAATTACATGTTATTGTTTTAGTTGTTGATGCTATTATTGAGCATAATAAAACTTGATGTACAAGTGCTTGTTCATCGGTATGTATAAAATCTAATATAGATTTTTGACGAAATAAATCATATGATATAGATGGTAATCTTGATACTGAACGATCGACAAGAAAAATTTTTCAATCATTTGGTGAACAACGATAACGAAATGTACACGATTGAGGATCTTTATAACGACACATATTTGTTTCCTTGTATTTTGTTATGAATGGTAAATGAAATATACCAACAAAAGCAAGAAAACCTGATAAAGTTGTTTTTACAGGTTTTTTATGAATGATCAATTATTTTCGTCATACCATCGATAATAACAGATGAATACATATCATTATTACCTTGTTTTAATCGGCATTCAAGATGAATTGACATTCCAATATGTTGATTTAATAACATAAGTTGACTTCGAAAGCGTATGAAATCCACAGGATGTATAAATGATAGAAAATCTTGTTCAAGCCATTGATCACGTGTAATATTTAATATACGATTTATTGCATCAGTGACGTAAATTACACGAAATGATGTTGACTCAATAGTAGTTACAAATAAGAATGAATTGCTTGCTTCAATTGTTAAAAAGTTTAATTCATTATCAGTTAAATTTGATGGACGTAATGGATCATTTTTATGTCACAAATTTATTTTAAATGTTTCATCAACAGCTATTTCAAGTACATCAATATGGCGAAGTTTTGTTGATTTTAAATCACTTCGATTTGTAATTAACATTGATATTTCTGTAAAACGTTCTTGTTCTATTGCTCGTCGATGCTCTTCAACTAGTCTATGTTCTTCACGTTTACGTGCAAGATCGTCTGAGTTTCCTTCTTCAGCTGATTTTGTCAAAACTGATGCTGTTGTTATTTTATCACGTCTACTAGATGATAAATTTCGAGAAAAATCAGTTGATTGACGAGGAAATGTTGGATATAATATAATACATCAGAATAATTACTCTCATCACTACAAATTGATGTCGATAAATAACTTACATCAGTATCAGTCATTGCTATACGTTTATTTGACCGAGCCATATTCGATGATGTTGGTGAAGATATTGCCGATGTTTGATTTGTACTCACTGAAGCGTATGAAGATAGTTCAAAAGTATCATTTTCAATCAATGCATCTAGTGAATTTGAATGAAAACTATCTTCTATTGAATGAGAATTATGTTCAGCATAAAATTGTAGAGAATTCTGCATTGGTTATAATATCTAAAAGAAGAAAGTACGATCTTCATAAGGTTCTTAAAATTTATAAGGATAGAACGCAGGAAATTAAAGGAAACAATAAAATGACATTAAAATGATGAAACGGACAAAAAATTGGTATATTTGAAATTCATCGATTAAGATAGACATTTTCATTAATTTCATTGCATGATTCTGATTAAAAACGAAATCCATTCCATTTGCTTAATTATAATGTCGCTTTTCATCAATGAATATGTAAAACATAAATTTTTTTGTCTGTTTCGTCATCAGCAATGCCATTCTTTTCATGTTTTTCATATAAGATTCATGAAAGTTCAGGAATGTTTTTGATTTTTTGACTGTATGGAAATGACTTCGTCTACATATGTGTCCATGACTTTCACCATTATTTGTGTACTATTTCGTCGTCCGCATGTAGAAAGTGAATAATAAAATCTGTTCTGTTTTTTTTCTCCTCTTTTTTCTCGTCATCTCTATTTTTGCAACCTATCCAAGCGTGACGAAAACACATTTTTTCATCTTACCTTTTCAATATCTCGATGAAATGAAGTTGAATAAGACTGAAATCTTCACAAGTTATGTAAACCGGATTTTCCTACTAGATTGGAAATAATATTTTGCCAGGGAGGTATCGCTATAATTTCAAATAGAGTAAATAATGAATTTTATACCAAACGAAAGCCGGTCAAAAATGGGATTTATTGGTACTAAACAATAAGGATTATGGAAATTTTCATATGTTGAGACTCTCGAAGTTTAAAGAATTTTGCATAATGCGATCGCTATAATTTATTTTTTACCGAGTTATACGACAAAGAAAAAAAGAAATTTTCTTTTGAAAAACTAAAAAGAGCATTGTTCTAGTGATCACAAGACTCAACTACGATTCAGAAGGTGTGATTGACCTTTTGCGTTCTGTTGTCTGTAGCTCGTGGTGATGGCGAATAAAAAAGATTTTTTTATTTTCCTTCTCTTCAAAAGTTATAGAACAGGGAAGTTCAAGAAGTTTATGAAACAATATATAGAGTCATTTTCGAATCAATATCTTTCATAAAAAATTTACCCTTTCGATGAATCAATTAAATTTAATTATTTTGAAATTGCTGGTGTTGGTGAGTCTTTCTTTTGCACACCCACACCCTTTTGTTGTGGCGATAACTCCCTCTAGGAAGCAGATAGAGTCTTTAAAAAACTTTGCCAGTGTAACACGATATAGTCAACATTCCTTGAATGTTTGCTCCAAATCGAACTTATGATTACTAAGATAGGTTTTCGACCTTGAAGATCTTAATTAATTAGTGTTTGGAAACTGTACAATAAATTACAATTGGAAGCACATAAGATCCATAACACTGATTAAAACGTTTAGCTATCATGTTTCTTTGAAAATTTCGTGATGTAGTATTATCACACCATAGTATAGCTATAAGGTGACAAACTTAACTCTCTAACATATTGCGGAAATACTAAAACTCCTCCAGTTCAGTGATTCGAGAAGGAAACGTCAACAGCCTCACTCTTTCTCGTACGTCTGACTTCTGCTATTCGCTCAAGTCACTATAGACTACTCCATAAATTTTTTTTTCAAAAATTTTACTTTTCTTGAATAAAACAGACAAAAGAAATATTATTTTCATCTCCTTTAGCATAACTATGTGATCCTTTCAAACGCACCGTATTAAAAGATCTACGAAAGTCTAAAAACCAGCATACAAATTTTATCCAGATAATAAGATGATATTCTTTTATTTACACATTAGTTGGATAAGAGGAAGATCATAATTCATAGATGTGATTGACAGTTATTAGTGACAATAATGATTGATGAAATTTAGTGTTCATTATATTATTTTCTTCATGATAATGCAAAATAACAAAAATATGCTGTAAGTAGTTGTTCCGTTCAAGGTAAAACATGATTCGAACAGTTTGTCCAATCAGAATGAATGAGACATTTTGGATCGATTGAACCGTATTGTTTCGATTTTCTTCAAATATTTATGCATTTCTCACATTTATATAAATTTTATAATCTTTTTTTGAATAAAGCACAAGGAAAGTCTCAAGAATTGAAGTAAAGCAAGTCAAACACAATAAAATGAACTTTTTTCTGTAGCCATTTTGCAATCGTCCGCCGAAATGAAAAATATGGTACAAAATTTCAGAGCATGATCTTATCTGGTGTGCGATTTTTAGATTGGGTTTCTCGACTTTGTTCAATATGTTGAACAATATAGATACAAAACAACTGAAAATGTTCATGTTTTCAGTCTCCAAACTAAAAGATGATTAAAACTATAAACAATTGAAATTCGAATAATGAGTCTAGTGAATTACTCCATCGTAATACGTAAATTTTAGAAGTAAAAGAACAAGAAAAATTATCCTACTGTAAAGTTAAAAGTCTGAAGTATTCTAATGCAAAGTAACTAAATATTTACCAAAAACAGACCATCTGTTATTTTTTCTTTTCAAGATAAATAATAGTTATAAAAGAAGGATAGTTAGATTACCTTTAAACATTAGCTGATATATAAAAACAATATTACCACTGAAGAGGAGGATTTAAGGACGTTTTGAAATGAAATCCATGAAGCTTTCAATCTTATTATTGATGGGATGTCTTTTATTTACTGTTGTACAATCGACACAATCGGTTAATAAAGGTTTAATTATGCATGAAGGTAAATCGATTCTGTTTAATACCATACATTGAATCAAAAAATAATTATGTGAAATTTTATTTCTATAGGCAGATGTCCTCAACCACCATTTGGCATAATGTGTCGTCGTATAGTCTGTATGCCTCAAATGATGGAAAGGACTTGTAACAACGATGGTAGATGCAAAGAAAATGAGAAATGTTGTCATATACCATGCTCATGTAGTATAAAATGTGTTGCAGTATAAACACAATAGACTAATATGACTTAATTTACATCATCGTTTTAAAATATTGTTATTGGTCTGCTCTTGTCATTCTTAATAAACACTTATGACTATCTTTATACTAATTCTTTACATCTATCAGTTCTTCATGCTTTTATGATAGATAGCACTAAAGTCAATGTGGATCTTTATGAATATTCTAGAAAACTTTGAAAGTCTCAATAAGAAAGGAAGTAGCCAACAAATTATTTTGATTAGACATGCAACGATTCGAGTCAGGGCTCAGTGATTGGACTCGGGTTCGCATGTTAACGAATCGGCTCTGGCTCGGATTTAGGCATTAACGAATGGGTTCGAACTCAAGTTTCAACAATGCCGAGCTGACTCGGGTTCAAACTGTTTCTGTAAAGTAAATATTTATTTTGCAGGAGGGAGAGGCAATGTGATAAGTAGAAAATCCGATTTCCTAGCTTTTGACTATTTCTTCTCCAAGATGATCTTCGTCTTCGAAAAGTACTTGTCCAAAAAAGTCAGAAGACTAATTTTGCTACTTATCATGATTGATGTGCCCAGATTTTTATTGACGAGTCGGCTCAGCAGTTTGCGAACCCTAGTGTAGCTAGGTTTGGAAATGTTTGAACCGGAGTTTGGGCTTGCTCGCCCCTCACTAAAATCGAGTCCGAGCCGGTCCATCAATAAGCAAACCCGAGCCTGAGCTAACCGATTCACTGCATATCTTCATTACTAGACATTTCAGGTGTGGGTGGGTGTGGGTGTGGAATGAAAATTGCATACCCACACCCTCAGTGAGTTGTTAAACCAAATGACTTTTCAGGTAGGTAATTATGGTCCAGCAAACCAAATAAATTTTCTGTTTTCTCCTTTATCCTCACCGAGATATGCTGCGTGAATGTTTCTGCCTTCACCCTCAGCGAGAGAGATACCCTGTATGAGTCCAGGCTTGCACCCTTACTTATGTAAGTTACGTCAGAACGAAATGACTTCCAGTGGAAGCTGATTCGATTTCCATAAGATCCACGGGATGTTTTAGAAAGCAAGTTGATATTCCGACATTCATGCGATTTCTCGAACGTCATTTGGTTTCCAAAAAATTCATATGATTTCCTAGAAACTAATAGGAGGTAACTTATGTCGAGTCCTGCTCTGGTCTCATGTTTCTCATTCATAGAGTCGTTCGTGATATATGAAGCATGTTACTGTGGATATTCAATGAAGTTTTTCTATGAACAACAACCGTAGATAGGGAAAATGAGAGATTATTTTTACCTTTCTCAAAAATTTATATGAAACTCACACTCAAGCAATTGACCAGCTATCAAGAGATGCTAGGATTGTTTGCTAGCCCGAAATCAATGATCCTTCTTTGCAAGTTATTCGTACTTATTAAGACATATCACTGTGGATATTCGCTCTTATTCTTGATTATGCATAAGATCGCGGACACACGAAATGACAGTTCATTCTATCTATTTCCTATTTTCTGAATCAAACTCGTCCTCCCTCAAAGATGCACATCCGAATACTATTTCGATGGGACTTGTCAGAGAATGTTGTGTTATATAATTCAGCACACATAGGAACACCAAAAGTGCACCATGAACAAATATATTGCCTGCAACAAGAAAAGTGCAGGTGCATAAAAGATGAACATATCCTGTAACATCTTTGGTTAACACCACGATACTTATGATCGGCATATAGTTCGATAGGGAATAGTCCTAAAAGGTTTCATTTATAGACTCCGACAACTTTCGAAACAATATAAAGATAGATATATTGAAACGCTACAATTATTGAGTTCAACAAGATTCAATGTCCATTTCTGAGACAAAGGCGTACTCTTGAGCAAGCAAAAGTTGATTGAGAAACGGTTTTTGATTTAATTGAAGGTTCTGGGAAAAACAAGTTTCCATGCTTTATCAAAGAACGGTACATTTCTATTTTTGATCTCGAGCTCATGTTCTATGATAAATGTTTTTGTCGATTCTTCGGTGAACATTTTTGATCTCGTTTGAATGTCGACTTTAATCGACGAATTGTCGGAAAAGTAATACTTGGCATTTCTTTGAATTTGAACCCGAGCTGTTTGTGGTCCATATTCATTGATTTCATAGACCGATTCTGATGTTTCATCAAATAGGTGACCATCTGGATATAAAATGCAACCATTATCTTTAGTGATCTAATGAAGAAAGAGAAAATGCGTATCTTACAAACAAGTAGCGATGAGTCTTACTTTTAATGTACTTATTTCATTGATTTCATCAAACGTACGAATGCTACTAATGGAATCGTCACGAATTGTGATCACTTTAAGACCAGGAGCTATTTCAGGCAAGTCAAAGTCAGGTTTCGAAGAGCTACATTATATGTCGACAGAAACGCAAACAAACAAATGCACATATCTCTTACCATTTATGAGCTAAACGAGGTAAGATAAGTACAGATGGAGAAGACCGATTCAAATGAATTCTAACACAAAATCAATTGTTTTGATAATGGAAATTAAAATAGTATGTTACTACTCACGTTACTGTAGCTGACTGAGGAGAAGGCCAGACAAAGGGCCAATACGCTGTGGATACGGCCAGACGGAGACGATAACCAGCTGAGAGACGAACACATACGCCAGACAGAGTTACATCAATGCTAAAATAAATAGAGAAAATATCCTGGTTACTTTTTTCAGCAATAGTACACAAAATTGACTGTTTCCCAATGTTTCTTAAATAGGTCGTGATGAAAATATATTCGAATCTATGATTTTTCGTTTTGTGATACGAATAGGTACCAAGAGAGAACATCAATCTTTACAAAACTAAATAGCGATATCGACAGATTTTCTTGAAAGAGTAACACTATGTAAAATCTATTCAGTACGTCATTTAGTAGCGACTATCGAACGTCGGATTAACAATATGGCTATTATGCTGTGGCTAGCTCGTGAAAGATCCGTTACATCTCAGATGACCAAATTGAAATGAGAGTGAACTCGAATTGTGAAAATGTGACTGGTTTGAATGAGAGATGGCAAAGATTCGAAAAATGTCCACTTCACCTAAAGTCCTATACTAAATAAACGGACTTTACTAATTTACAAAGCAGAAGGTCTTTTCGGACGTTACCCTGCGATAACGTATTACACTTTTTTTCTATCCTATGGGAATCTTCCTTAGTTCTAGTGACACTTTTTGGGAACTTTATCTACTTCAATTAGAATCTTTTCATAACTATAAGGACTTTTTTCTTTGATATAGATGATCATTATTTTTGTCCCGGCACACACCCTCATCATGTAGTATCCATAATTTGCTTTTCCTATGACTATTATATATGTGAGATTTCATAAAGTATGTTAAGTCCCACATATTTTCGAAGAACTTTAAGTAAAGTGGACATTTTTTCGATCTTTTACATTGCTGGCTTGAATACATGAAGGATTTAGACAATGTATCAAAAGTTTGTTTTCTTTTCAACAAAAACCATGGAAAACAGAGTTCAAAAATGATTTGATGCTATCAGATCCTTTGATTATTAGCAAAGCAGTGAAGAAATAGTTCGCAGTACTAACTTGTAGATTTTATTGATTTCCAGTTCTTCCGGATGTTCATGAGAATTGAAATGAGTCAAATTAAGAATGCCTCGGGCGACGAGAATGGAAGCACAAGTTTCTGGTTCAATAGCACAAAGACGAACACAAAGTAAAGCATTCGGTTGATTTGAACTTAAACTTAGTTGGACACTGGGAAAACCGAATAATTCTATAAGAGACGCAATATTTGATATGCAAGTGATAAGAGCAAATCGAGTTTCGTACCTAAATCATCAAGAAGTGGTGATGAGTCAAAACAAAGTGATCGTCCGTCATCTATCCGTTGATCCAAAGAATGATCTGGATGTTTCAAAAAACCCCAGCCAAGCCAATTGCCACTTGCTGTACCGGTTTGTTGTGGAGA